AAGGACAGGACACTTCCGTTTCCGGAGCGGCTCTGGGGGGTTTGCGAGCGCGACGGGATCGGGATGCGCTGGCCGAGCCCTCGCTGCTGGCCCCGCAGCGCGCAGCCGTCGAGGCTCTCCCCGGACGGAGCGACCGACAGGCAGCTTTTTTCCACTCTCCCTTTCAAAAGGGTAAGAAGATACGTTGCTTGAAAGCAGGCAGCTCTCCGGTGGGGGAAGACGGTAGCTGCATCGCGTTATAACACGCGGTGCTTCGTTAGGCTTGTGCAACAGCCCGAGTCCGACGACGTAGATGTACTCGGAGGTCTGTATTCTCTTTTCTATCTAATTTAATTACGTGCTTCCTGTGTCATCGAGCTTACCAGTCGCCTGCATTATCAGCCGTTGTTTGGGAACACGAGAAGCATCCTGTGTCGCAACGCCAGGGCCGAGCGCCCGCCCCGCCACCTGCCCCGACTTCTGCGGCGCCGAGCCCACCTCCCGCCCGCGGGAACTAACGCTGCCTCTTGCGCCGCCCAGACGATCCCCTCCGCCTTTCGTTCCCGCCGGCCACGCTGGGGCTGGCAGCCGGCTCACGCGAGCACCTGCAACGAGGGAGCCGCGTCGGCAGCTGGCGTTTCCCAGCGCGGCCCTGTCGTTCGCAGCGGGAACCAGCTCTCACCCAGGCAAACCGCGAATAAAAGTTTCCACCCTCCCAAACGTATAAATGAACTAGGTAGCAGGGAAGGAAGGAGGGACCGGGGAGGGGGGACACAGCACCTCTACGCACGTGCCCCAAAAGCGCCATCGAGCACCGTGAGCCGGCAAGGAGGATTCCTGGTAGCATCATTTCAGCTTAAGGCACTTGCGCGCGCGCTCACAAACACCTACCTCGTGGGATTTATGGAGGGACCGACAACATCCCGGTGCTGGGGAGGCACCAGCCCAGCTGCCTCTAAGCGACGGCTGCCTCGAGCTTTAGTGTGGCTCTAGAGGGTTTTATCCTGAAAAGACAGGAAGGAAGGAAGAAGAGCCGCAGCGAACCGGGGGTGGATGCCGGGCACTGGGGACTGCAACGGGGGGAGTTCAAACCTTCGGGAGAAAGACAGAAGCGGGACCGGTCAACTGTATTTCTTTGTTACGTTTCCCTGAAGCTAGCAGCCGGTAAGGACCCGGCTCGGTCACCAAGAGCTCACGGCTGCGCTACTTGGGGCGAGCGAGATTGCTGGAAACACACACGAGCATCGCGACCGAGCTCCTCGAGGGGCAGCTGTTATCCCCTCCGCTCATGTGCTTTCTTTGTACAGCACCAGAGCACATCTGTGCGGCGAGAGGTAGCTGACAGCAGGTACCTTTAATCTTCTCTTTCCGTTCCCAGCACCTGCTCTTTAAAGTCACTGAAGAGGAAAAAAAAAAAAAAAAAAACAAACAAAGGCGAGGGCTAAATATATCCTATCTAAGAGGGAGACGGAGCGGTGCTGATGGCAGATTCTTCCCTCGGATGCACACGAATCATTGTGGCTCAGAGTCAGGCTTAGGGGGAAGAAACAAAGAAGAAAGGGAAAGGGAAAGCAATAAAAGCAGGGAAGGGAATTAGGGCAAAAAAAGGAGAGAGAGAGGCGAGAAAAAGGAGGGGCTCAGAAATTCCGCGTTTGCGGGAGAAAAGCAGATTTATTTAATTGCTCTCATTAACTGCACCGCAGCGCAGGCCAAGCGACAAGCGCTCGCGGCCCACCGGGCCGGCTCCAGAGGAGGGATTTCTCTCGGTGCGAGCGGAGCCCGGGCGCTGCTCTCTCCG